CTTGATGCTGCTACCCTTTTTGTGTATCAACTGTTATGTGACTTGCCTTTCTACAGAAAGACTTCTGTTCTTTGTGAGTGGTAGAAATTGAACTTTTTCTTCATCAGACGGTGGTGTGTTTTTCGGCTTCCTTTCACTTCTGAAATTATGAAACATGTTCCTAATCGTTGTTATCTGATCTGCAGATAATGCTGGGGTTATTGTGAATCCCAAGGGTGAGATGAAAGGTAATATTCAATTTTTAACAATATATAGTAAATTGCTGCTTTTCTTTCTTTTCATTTGAAATTTGTGTTTTTGTCTATGTTTCTTGTCATTCATTTGGTCACTTCTGTGTTCGTAGGTTCTGCCATCACTGGTCCAATTGGAAAGGAGTGTGCTGATCTATGGCCTAGGATTGCCAGTGCTGCCAATGCCATTGTTTAGAAGAAGTTTGAAGTGGTCGTGAATTTTTGTTTTTCAAGTTCTATTGAAGTCTTTAAGGTCTGATGTTAGAAATTTATGTGACACCTGTACTAAACAAGTTCCTATTTTTGTGGAAAGTTGGATTCTTTACCTGTTTTCTGATTTCTATGGGCGTTTTTTAGTTCTATTAAATATGGATTATTGCCTATATGATGGTATCAAAGTTGTGCCATGTATGTGTTTATTATAGATGCGCCTTACTCTTGGGCTATTCCAGTTGACCCTCCATAGTGGTACCTCCAATTCATATGTCGAATTTCTATAGTTTGTGAGTATCATCTTGAGAATACATTTGAATTGCGTTGCCGGTTATTGCTTTTAACCAGTGACCCGATGCTTTGGGCCAGATGTGTTTTAAAACTATGATAAATGGTTGGCATTTGATTCCTTCAACTTTTTCTCTGTCGTTTGGTGTATTTTCAGTGACTCGGTGACCCCTATGGTTTGTGCTTTTAATCCATTTGGGCGCCTATGATTCTCTTCTTTTACAAGGATATGCGTCTCAATTTCCAAAAGTAGTCCCGTTCCTTGTAAAGATGCTGGGATCTGTACCTTTCTGATCTACAAGTTGGACTTCCGTTTTCGTTTCTCAAAGAAAATAATACTTAAGATGAAGGGTTTGAGTTATCTTAAGTTAACTTTCTCTAAAAGTTTTTCTAGTTAGATTAAATAAAACATTTAAAGAAAAAAATCATTAAAATTTGTTTAAAAGCAGATTATTAATACCAAAAACTTTTATTTCGCTCTTAAAATAAGGCATGCCAGATTGGGGCTCGAATTCAGAAAGGAACAACAATGTTACCACAAAATGAAATGCTATAGGGTTCAAGTCGTGGCTTATGTCAGCGGTTTACAAATTGAGTCAATTAGGTGACAAATGAGTAAAAATAGTTTTGATGTTTTCTACTCTTTTTCCTCATTGAGGAACTCATTGCTTCATTAATGTCTGTTACTTATCCATATCAAAAAAGGAAAAGATAGAACAAAATATAACACCCAAGGAAAAGTAGTTATGTTCTTGTAATTATTTTGAAATGCGCTCGTATGTTAGACTTGACAAAATTATAATTAATGGAATTCAACTAATTTCCTTTTTTGTACTCTAAGGTGTTGTCGAGTAGTGTGTACCAAATATGCTCTCGCGTTCTTGGACTGAGGGACTTGAAAATGTACATTTTTGTGTAATTCTAAACTCTATTGGTTGGACTTGGAGGCTTTTCAAGAAGATACTTTTAGATGAGTAAAAAAACACAGAATATGATAAAAGAAAGCAAAGCATCTTTTTAGAATCAACCCCATTGATGTTACAGCACAAGGATAAGTTTCTATCATACGTTCAGAATATCAGGCCCCACAGGCATCAAATATTTGTTGACAGATTTATCATGGAACAGAATGCCACTTCTAGTGGATGAGAAAAGAACAATGTTGCACGTACAGAAAATGCAGCCACAAAATTCATACAGAAAAGACACAATGGGGGGTGGGTGGTTTTTTTTTTTTTTTCAATATTTTACTCACGTGAGTTTCCTGTATGAATTCTGTACGTGCAGCATTCTTCGTGTGAAAATTACACCCAACAAAGATTCTTGATTTGATAGATTGAGTCGACTACATAAATCATTTTTGTTACAGGATTTGTGCATTGTCTTTGATCAAAATGCTTTACCATGTTTAATACACGTGTAAATTACATCCAACCAAAGAAAAAAAATTGTTTCCGCTAAATTTGAGTCTACTACCTGAATCATATTTTTGTCAAGTGAAAGTTACGTCCAATAAAATATCAACACTTTTACAAGGCATCTCCCACATGTTTTCATGTATTAAATTGCCAAAACTCTTTCTTCTGCAGCTACAGTTTATGGTCCTTACTCCTTCAACCATGAAAGTTTCACATCTTGCAAGCTTGAAGATTCAAATACTGAAATTGAGAAGAAAAATTATGTGTAGTAGTTCTGCAGTTAGGTTGATAAGTGTTCAAAAAAGATTGCAGGAAAATTGTTGCCATGTATCATATTATGCAAGGCTGTTGATTTGGAGGTTCAATTCACAATGGAAACAAATTCTGAGGAGGAAAAGCAACACTATACGATACAATTACGATGCTCAAAGCTATTCTCAAAACTTCGATGAAGGTCGGTCAGACGACAACCCTTCACCCTTAGCTCCCCGGTGATTCTGATCTTAGTATATGTCCATTTGGTAAGATGGTCTCGACAATATTGGATATGATTAAGAAAAAGCGTGATACTAGGTACCAAATGTGTCCTCAATAGTTTTGATTTTCGGGCGCCTTGAAGGCATTTAGAAAGCTTAATTTTTGTCTATTTGGGATACTTTGTCTCTAGTAAGATCAAGGTTAGTAGTTCTAAATAAAACTTATATTACCTAGAAAAACTTGCTTAGATGCTAATATTATCCAAGTTATTTCTTTGAATTTGATCATAAATAGAAAATTTTCCAGATACCACCTACCATTTGATGAATGTTTAGTGCCCCTCTCATCTATGTTTGAACTTCTTCTCATGTTGATATGCCGTATCTCATCAGATCAAGAAATCAGCAACTTGGCTTGAGAATGTATTAACTTTGTTTAGAACATGAAAGATTACGCTGATAATTTTTGTATCGAGTCTTTTTTATCTTTGATTTATACTACGATGGTTCTATAATGTTGACATGTTCGATATGTTGGAATAGACAGTAAACAAAGAATTAAAATCTTCTTCGTTATACTGTTCATGTCAAATACTATGTATCAAACGTGCCTAAATGTGCTCGTTAGTGGTTGGTTAACGATCAAATGTTTTCTTGGAAAAATCATCCCAATTTGTTTGATGATGCTAAAAGGAATGTTTACCAAATTGGTTGTTGTTTGATTTGGAAAGGGAGGAGTAATATAGTGTTTTATTGGTTTTGTAGCAAAGTGCTTTGATTATCAGTAAGATGTTGTAATGTATAAACTAAGCTGAACAAATCATATTTTTCGTAGTGTTTTTATGGTTTCGTAACGAAGTCCTTGAGCTCGTTGCATCGCAAACACCAGTTCCTGGTCCATATTGAGGATAACCTTCTGCACCAGCAGACAATAAGTATATTTATAATCAGTTGAATGAAATTATATAAACACAAAAAGAATCTGCAAAGAAAGATCTCTATTTTTATGCACATTTTCTAGTGACAAAACGGAACTAAATTAAACTTACAGAAATCATGGAACTAGTGGGATTAATGCCATAACCAACAGGATAAAGATTTCTGGTATACCCTGATCCAGGAGTTGCACTCTTTCCACTGTAATTCATATCAGCGGGTCTCGAGTAAAGTTCGCGACATATGGTTCTCAAATAAGAATGAAATGGCATCATCCTAAGCAATTGCAAAAGTTGGGTTGTTTTCAAATTAAACAAAAAATAAGTAACAACAAAATAAAAGACAAACAGATCCTTGAAGGAGGGAAGTCTTTAATTTATAATAAGCCTTTTGATTGGCTCAGGAGTGGCACATTTGGACATCCATAATCAAAGGAGGAAAAACGATGTTGTTTCTGGTTCTGGTTTGAAGAAATACTGTGAGAGTTTGGAAAATTTAGTGTTGGGTTGAACAACATAGGAGGATTTGAGGTTGTCCCTCAAGAATGCATTGGTTACATAGGAAAATATACGAGTTCAAGTCAGTACTAGGCAGATTGTGAGAGGGAAATTCGAGAATGTGAAGTGCATTTGAGTAGTTGCTGTAATTCTTTGAAAGGTGGTGATGGAAAAGATGCATGGACCCTTGATGTTGATGACACATTGTTGTCCACTGTGTCATACTTCAAAAGTCATGGATTTGGGTATGTTCATTTCTTGGTGTTTTGCTTTATTACATTGGTGCCGAAAGGCTCGGGATGGCTCGTGTTATTAAGAATTGAGATTCCATCTTAAAAGGTTAACATTGTTAAGAGGAGTAACCCGATCTTTTATAAGTTGGTTTATGTTAACATCTTTATTCGATGTGAGATTCTATCCCTTAATATGTCCTCGCAAGATGGTGACTTGTTTGAGCAGACCAATTTTGAAATTCGTGTGCTAACTTTTGGAGTTTTAACCGGATCGAATTGCTCATTAGAGTTTAATGGACTCTGATGCCATATTAAGAATTGAGATTCTATCTTAAAAGGTCAATCTTATTAAGAGGAGTAACTCAATCATTTATAAGTT